TGAAAGTAGTACATTAAAAAGTTTACCTGGTGAATATAAGTTATAAAAATGTAAGTTTAGATGTGGTGACAAATGAAGTCCAGTAATAGGAAAGATTGTTTTCATTTATAGTAACTGCCAGTGCCCATCTCATTAAAATGTCTTTAAAACCAGTATTACCTGAAGAATGGAACAAATCACAGGAAAACAGTTGTGAATGTGGGTATAATATATAGTTTATTAATAAAGAATGAACTTGTTTTCTCACTCGTCAAAGAATCATGGCAAAATGGAGCACCCGACTAAACCTGTGAGCAATGGAATAACTACTTTCCACATAATAGGTGGTCTCTCTGACAAGGGGCTTATTAGTTTCATGTTTATATTAAGAAAGAGAAGAGATTCGGGCTGTTTTATGTGAGCGAATTGTAGGAAGGATTAAAAAAAAGGCTATGGAAAGGTGTGTGTGTGGGGGGGGGGATTGTAAATATTTGCATGTAGTTTATACAGGTGCCAAGTACAGTGCATTGGTGAAATGTGGTAGAAATGGAAAGGGAAGGAAGGGAGGGAGAAATACCTAATAAAAGCATTACTGGGTCTATTTCACTAGTACAAAATATTGATTCATTTCCTCTGACTTGACCAACAACAGGATCAACCCAAAATTTGCATTGGTGCAAATTAGCACCTGTTGTACAGATGAAATTTCAAGATAAGAGGCCAGAGGAGGAAGATTACATATGCAATTCCATTCAAATGATAAAGAAAAGTGATAGTTCATCATCATCATAAGGATGACAGATTTCAGGAATAATTGGGACTATAAAGGAACTGCCAGCAATGTACGATTACCTTTCACACTACATTTATATTAAAATTGTTTATACTGCAGAGTTAATGCTGGTGACTGACACTCAGATCTGACCACCTGGTTACAGAAGAGCTCGGGCAAGCATTCCTACTGCAAAGTCCCAACCAAGTTGTTATCATTTTTTTCTGCATTCACCTCTGTGGGTTGCAGGGTGTATGGGAGGGGGGAGTCCTTGTGCTTAAACACTGTAGGGGAATCAAAGGCAGTGGAAGCCTATCAGCACTTGAGATATTTGCCTGCATATTCACTACCACTTGAGTAGCTTCCAGTAGAGAGATTCTACTCCTAAATTATCCTAGAACAGGGGTGTCAAATGTACTGCCCATAGTGCAGTTTCATCTGTCTTATAGACTTCCCAAGGATGTTCAGATTTGTCTACATGATACTGGAGTCCAAACTACAGACGTGTGATTGTTAGTGTGTTCTTTCCCCAAAACCCAGACAAAAGAACCAAGTTGTGATCCTACTTTTCTTGGCATTCCCAGAATAAACAGAGCAACGTTCTCCTCCCTGTGCTTTGCAACATATAGTAGAAAAGGGCTATAATTTACTCACTCAAGGAGTCCCTGTGATGAATCAGGAGGTCTTGTTTTCCAATGGTTTGCAAGCAGAGAATGTGGGACTTAGTTTTCCTGTGTGTTACTGGTTTAATGAGGTAGTAAGAGAGGCAGTTTGTTGTTACAGAGAACCAACAAATGGCCTGGAGCAGGGGGACCCCAGCAACTAGTGACCAGGAGCCCCACATCAGGAGTCACTGCCATTTCTAGCCAATGGAAAAACAATGGGCTGTGGAGAGAGGACCCTGTTGACCTGGCCAGCCAGTGGGGAACAAAGGACAGATGAGAGGAGAGGGTGAGAGGAGACAAGGCCCAGGTGTCCTGTTTACCTGGGACAGAAGAGGAACTTGGTGATATCAGATGGCCAGCTGGAAGGAGGGGACTTCTGAACCAGGGACAGAGGGCAACCAGCACCCACCTGGAGGCAAGCAAGACCTCGTAGATGCACTGTGCTGAGGGATGCTAGACCTGAAGCCATGGGAGTTTCCTTTACTGGGTTCAGACTTTCAATAAACCCCTCCTGTTTTGTTCTGACTAAGGCTATGTCTAGACTGCAGGCTTCTTTCGAAAGAGCCTCTTTCGAAAGATCGCATCTAGACTGCAGGCGGATCTTTCGAAAGAGAAATCCGCTTTTTCGAAAGAGAGCACCCAGCGAGTCTGGATGCTCTCTTTCGAAGACGGCCTCTTTACATTGAAGAACACCTTCTTTCGAAAGAGGAACTTTCGAAAGAAGGCGTTCTTCCTCGTGAAATGAGGTTTACCGCCATCGAAAGAAAAGCCGCGTTCTTTCGAAATAATTTCGAAAGAACGCGGCTTGAGTCTGGACGCAGGGGAAGTTTTTTCGGGAAAAGGCTACTTTTCCCGAAAAAAACCCTGAGTCTGGACACGGCCTAAGAGTCACTCCAGTCTAGAGATTGGAGTTGCATTATTCCCTCTCAGTGTGAAGGCCCCAGAGGTCCCAAGTGAGTGGACTCCATGAGGGGTCACAGCATGGACAGTAATGTTGATGGCTCAGAAAAGTACAGTTACAGGAGGCAAAGGAACATACAGTTTAATACCTGAGAAAGAATGACCCTCAAGAAGGGCTGACACACCGAAGAGGGTTCCCCTTCAGGTACCATAGGGTACATCTACACTACAGTGTTATTTCAAAATATCTTATTTCGAAATAATGTGTCTAGACACAAAATGCATTTCGAAATAGTGTGTCCACACTGATAGGACGCTGAATCACATTTAAGGCTGACCGGAACCGGTTCTGGCAGGGCATCAGGTCAGGAGTTACCTTGTGTGGCTGCTGTCTGAGGCTATCTGAGATCTGCGCTTGAAAGGACCACCCACCCACCCCCAGACAGCTGGTTCTAAGGTTTCCCAGCTTGCTTGCCTACCTTGCTGAGGGACAGCAAAGCATTTTTTTCTCTGCGTGCTTTGATTGCCCTCACTTAGGACACCACAGCACTTTGCAACATGGAGCCGGAGCCACCTCGGCCACTCTGGTGCTTCTCCTGGACGAGTTGCTGCAAGCCTGGCAGGGCATTCTTCAGGCACTAACAGTCTCCCTGGTGTGCCCCACTGGGGCTTGTGCCTCATTCCTCCCTCACTTACCCCTAACCTCCCTTTCTGCCTTACAATAAAAGACACGTGTTCATTACAACAAAGCCTCTTTATTGAACAAAATTGGGGTAGGGGGGAATGAAACTGAGGTGAGACTGGGGAATGAAGGTGGGAGAGGGGAGGAGAGAAGGTGGGAGAGGGGAAGGGCAAACCTGGGAGGAGGGAGCTGGCAGGTGGAGGCAAAGGGAGGAAGGGGGAGAAGAAGCTCATGGCCCATGGTTGGGGGGGTCTTGCCAGCCCAACTGTCTCCCAGCACCACCGGTGTGTGGGCCTCGGCATCCCTGAAGGTGTGGGGAGGGTGGAGAGGAAGAAGCAGGAGGGGGAGAAGGAGTGGGAGGAGGAGCGGTAGCTGGGGAGGCAGCAGGGGCTGGAGCAGCAGAAGGCAGCAAACTCTGCCTAAGGGTCGATGACCACCTGGGGGCACGGACTGTCCTGCCCCCCAGGATGTGGTCCATGGCATCAAAATAGGGGCAGGGGTCTGGGTCTGCCCCTGGTTGGGAGCTGCCCCCTGTGGCCCGGGCATACACCTGCCTCAGCTCCTTGATTTTCATGCGAACCTGCTCCTGAGTTCACATGTGGCCTTTGTTGGCCAGGCTGGCAGCCATCCGCCTGTAGACAAGTTGTGTTCCTCCGTTCAGTGCGGAGATCATGAACGTTGGAGGCATCCCCCCAAACCTGAATTAGGTCCCTGATCTCCGCACTGGACCAGGCAGGCACCCGCCTTTTTTGGCCCCAGGCAGGCTCCTGGGAGCTGGTAGACTGGTAGTGAACGTGGCTTCCAATTCAAACAGGCTATATAAGTGCAGTACACATATTTTTTGTACTCAGATTTGTATGTGGAAAAACTCATTGACTGATAGCAACAGGATCAGGTTCTTTATATCTGACAGGCTGATTTCTACTGTTATAAACCAAGCAGAGGCGGCCCGTGAACCTAGGCAAACTAGGCAGTTGCCTAGGGCGCCGCTGGCCCGGGCACCCAATGATGATGTCATGGAGCGCCGGGGCACCCCATGATTACGTCACAGCCATTGACGGCCGTGTAGGTGGGGGCGCCAATCGTGCCTTCCGCCTGGGATGCCAGCTGCCGCAGCCAGCCTCAAGCCACTCCTGAAACTAAGTGTAACTGCAATAATTTCAAGGGAGTTATGGATACAACTCTGAATAACTGTATTTGTCTCACACTATATAAATGAAATCTGGATTAGGCATTGCACATGGCGGATTCCAATAATCAGTGTCTGTCACTTCTGTTCCCCTCAAAATCTGGAAGGTTTACGTACATGTATGCAGCAGTGAAAAGTGTACCAGAGCCCAATCAGAGTGTATTAGTTTATTCCAAAACCCCCAAAACAACGGTTAAGGAATTCTACAACAAGGTTTTTTCCTCTATAAAATCAATCAAATATGGCTTCAGATTCTAAGTTTAATCACATCTCAGCTTTGGTGCTCCAATGCCACATAAAGCAAAAATTAAAATTCATAATAGTCAAGAAGGTCAAAGGGAGCGGGAGAAGACACGTGCCACTAGGAAGCCATCTTGCTTCTCCAGCCTCTTCTCTGACTTCACCTGAAGTTAAAATAGTCTCAATGGCACCCCAAAATCCCATCATATATGCTAAAAGCCAACCTAAAACTGCACTTCTGCTTTACATTCCATAAGAATCCAAGCCAGATGACTCAACTAAATCAAAGGCTGAAGCATCTGTGATTCTGCAGAACACAACACTGAAAGAATTCCTGAGACTTGAGTGACAGAGGGATTGGATGTAATTTCAAAATAGATTAGTGGCCCTTCTAGATGTCTACCATGTTAAACAATTACAGCATTATAAAACAAAAAACTCAACTGAATCTAAAGGGTAAGGTTACCTCCCTGAAAAAGAATTGAAATGCAGAGATACAGATCTGTTCCAACTTGTATTTAGCTCAGACACCATTACAGAAATTCGTCCAATAAAAAAATATTCCTTCACTTACCTTGAGCTCATATGCTGGGAGAAGTTAAAACTAACATTGCAAGTACAAAGAGCAGCAAGAGTATCTGGAAAACAAATTTAGAAAAAATGACTTTGGTGTCATAAACATCATGAAAATTCTTTGTAGGAAAAATACAACTACTTTTCTTCAGAGGGTCGTCCTAACACATCACCCTGAGCTCCCTTTATTTGCTATAGAAAGGGCTCAGATAGTGTTCAGCTGAAAATGTTTGGAAAGGGAAAACCTAAATTGGTTCTCGATCGCACTGAACCTTATGTAGCCATTTCACCCATGCAAAGTTGGTGCAAAATGCTATCAAACCATAATGGTTATGTTTATACATGAATCCTGCACATGTATAAATAGCTATAAAGGCTGCAAGCCAATGCATATTAAGGATTGTTAAATATGAGTTGCTAAAATTGATAGAATTAAAAAAACCAACAGTGCCAGGAAAGTAGGGGAAACTACCATGAATCTAGTTGTATTTCCATTTTTCCAATTTTTGATCTAAACTAACTCCCACCTCTTATTCTCCCTCCACCCGAAAAAATGGAGGGAGATGGAAAAGAGCTGTATTAAGATAAAAGATTGAGAAACACTAAAACTGGATACTGCCTTCAAGTATCCAGCAATCACAGATATGAACTGGGAGGGTTTTGCAAGATACCAGCAGAAATTGGCTGATGCTTGAAACCTCAAGAAACAATTAGACCAAAAATAGTATGTTTTTAGTAATAGTTAATATTCATCCATAATGCTCAATATTTAGAAAATACTAGTGTACTTATTAAAATAAGAGTTTATAAAGCTTAAAACTTTTATCAAAGTTTAAAATCAGAGTTTATAACGCTTAAAACTTGCTTTTCTAAATATGCTTTAGATTTTTGAGCAAACAGAGATACATTCATTTTAGTAGTAGCTGCTGAGTGCTCTCAGGTTTAACAGGCATTTTGGTATGTAACTTTAAGGTGTTAGTTCTTGTTCACTAGAGCTGTAGCAAATTGAGGCATAACAGAGTAGGCCATGCACTAAAAACTATACATGTTGTAGTCCACCAAAAATAATTAACAGTAGAGAAAAATCTGCTGGCTCTGAACTCTAATCTCACTAATGAGACAAGTCTCTCCTCCCTTCCAAAAAAGGAAGGCACTTCACTGCATAAGACCACCATGAATGACCATACATAAATATAAACATATTTTGGGCTCATTAATGTTCAAAACTGGGAAATTTACTGTTTTTCATCATATCAAAACCAGTTCTATCAAAATCTCTACATTTCTACATATATGCACCATATATGCAGAAAATGGGAGCACCCCCTTTTACGCAACTGTGTTCAGAATAATGGCAGATTTCTATTAAAAGTGAATTCACAGGACCAGTATCTGCAGACTGCCTAAAGCATAGATCCTGAAAACCTTTTGTGTAAGTGTATATTTCAGGAGTTTGATTTCTCTGTGCTTCAAGATGTACTCTTAATATTGGGACAATTGTACAACCACCACTATAATAAAATGGAGAATGAGAGTACTGCAACAACAGACTAGACAAACTTCTAAAAGCAGTACAGAATCATTAGTCCAAAGCAACAAACAGGCTTATAAAATATTCCTAAATATATATTTCCAAACAATGGTTTGCTATAGCCAAATGGGCCACATCCAGTTACGGAACAAACATTAGTATTTTTAGCAGCCACTAGAACGTAGAAGCAAATAATCATTTCTCCCCTCAGGGTAATTTATTGAATATAACCTTAATAGCAAAGGCTGGAGAATATAATGAGCTCAAGACTGGAAATCAATTGTAGCTACAAAAAAGCTGTAATCAATGTATTTTCATCAAATTCTACTCCTAACTGAACTCTCCCTCTGTACCCACAGGCTTTATTCTACAACCCTACTTCAGTCTAATGCAGAAAGCTACCATAATACTTCAGAAAATATTTGCTACACAGTCCCATTCATCTCAATACAATAATATTTTTGGCAAGACCACAGACATGATTGTTTTTACTAGTCCTCCTTAAGAAGGTCTGTCCAATGTAGGAAAATGACTACAAGAACAAATCCTCACTTAACTGACAACATCTGTGCAGTCTAATTCTGCGGTTACTTGTTCTAGCACGTTTCATTGTGCAGCTAAAAATTAAGGAGCTCAAACTTATCGAAGGACAACTTTTACATTTGCTATGACTTAGAATAGCAGCAATTCTTTGCATTCAAGTGCAAAGGGGTTTTTGGCGATGGCGGGGGAGTTGGAGGAGATAGTTAATACTTTTATATTTAAACTTTAGGGACACTTTACTTAATCAACTCTCCATGTGTGAACTTATTTAACTAGAGTTCAAAATACTAGAAGTAAAGAGTTTTGCTGCACCTGGGATGTCAATTTCTGGTACTAGACTGACAAGTATGAAGAATGACAATTAAATCTAAACCACCTAAGGGCACAATCCTCTAGAGACTTTATTGTGTCTTTTACAGTTTATGCAGGTGTGCCATCCTTTTTCCTGGGAGTCTTCTATACCTAACGTGAAGAATCAAGTGTATTTTTTTCTGTGGTATTCTGCCATTGACGGTCAAAAGAAAGGAACATTCTCATGGGAGATTTTCAAAAGATGGAGGTATAGTTGGGGGAATTTATTTCACTATTACATTTGCATATGTGGCCTAAAAAAACCATTGCAAGGTCAAATACTGTCTGTCACTTTTAATTTTAGAGATCTATGAAAATTCAGTTGGAGAGGGGAAAATAACCCTTAATATTTTTTGTTTAAGTTTCACTTGTTAATAAAGATATGGGATTTATTTTATCTAAACTCACTGACCTGTGCCTACCATGGAGACTGAAGTACCTCAGATTTTATTCCCATTCAGAGATAGCGCAGTGTTCACTCCAGTATTCAGAATGTGTTGCCCATCTGTTCTGTAAAATAAAAAATACCCATACTTCAAAAAGTGAAAACATCACTGTGCACCAGAGAAGCCATAGTCTTTCCTCAGTTATACAAATATGACTCTATTCAGTTATGTTAACAAAGATTTGTTTCATCATAAAGCATAAAGAACTTTCCCTTCCCACAAACTTTGTTCTCTATCCTGGATTCTCCCCTCCCCCCCCCCCTTTTTTTTGAGGTTCTGAAACATTTGGATAAGTTAGTCACTGCAGATTTCTGCTTTTTGCTGAACATGCTCACCCCATCATCCTTTATACTGGTAGGAGACATTCACAACTATAATATGCATGTTTAAAAAAAAGTGCAAGAACTTAATAGGCCTGATCAGGTTCCAATTGGCTTCAATAGCAGCAACATCTGGCCCAAAGATTTGATTTAAACACTCAGGGTGTTACAAACTGGCCTTTTCTTCAGCTCCCAAAATACCTCTTGCCACACCCAGAGTCTCTGCAGACAACGTATTTCCCGCAAACAGGAAAGAAACACCCACACCCACAGAGAGAGAGAGAGAGAAAGAAAGAAAGAGAGAGAGAGAGAGAGAATGGGCTCCCAGGATGTTTTCCCTCCCCTCACAGGAACTGCCTTATAGCTTTGCACTCAGATGCCCTCTTTAAAACCTGATAGGGAGAAGCCGACCGGGCTCAAGGCTCTGGCCAGTGTCACCCTGTGACAGAAGGATCCACCTGTACCCTACTTGATGTGAAAAGAGAATAGGAGATTTAAAATGGCGTCAATACTCTGTAAGGATCATTAGAAGCAACAGCGTAGTTTACACATCAAACAGAAGAGTTGAACTTTAACAGGAAAAAAAATCAAACTGGACGAAAATCAGTTTAATCTTCTTGTAGCCTGTTAGTGGTTATTTTTGTTATCAGTGCCATCTTTTGGCATGCAAGCTAAACTTTGGGTGATATATAAATACATCTTGATTGGGTGCAAAAGTATTTTCTGGGAGTAGTGTGAAACATTAGGAAAGATATTTTATATTTACCACTTACAAGTGACCATGGGGGGTGTGGGGAAAGAAGGCCAGAAGTTTGTTATTTTTCCCCCTCACTAAATTTGAGTCTAAGCTCCGTTGCAGATGGAAGCCAACTTTAAATTTACTTCCTCCTTCCCAGTATGCATATGAAGAAGTACAAAACTCTGCAGGACTGAAAAGCAGAATTCATACTATGTTTGCTTAACAAATTAAATATACGACTTAATGAAATTATCAGCTTTGTTATTGCAGTAGAGCCAAATCAGTGTAAAAATCCATAGAATAAATAATCTATATAATCCTCTGGATAAAGTAATTCAACAGAATAACTTGTACCTACTTTAAGAATTTGCCTAGACTTCTGTGCATGACTAGGACCTCATCTTTAACTTGAATGGCAAATGCACAGGACATGTTGCCTTCCTCCACAGAGCTATGCAATTTCTGTCCAGGATTTTAGATCGCCACTGGCGTACATAGCTTCTGAAAGGGTTCCTGCTGTCACACATTTCTGCTTACAATTTCACTTCCCATTTTCATAACTGATTTCTTTGCATTGACACAGTCAGACTTTCCTTAATCTGATCAGAGCCGAAAGTTTTCCATGAGATTGTTGATGCAGTAAATCCTATGAAGTCACATACATTTGTTAATACTGGAGGCCAGCCCATGTAAAGCAATCCTGAGTACCGCTTTTTTAAAAAGCTAATATCGCTCATTCACAGTTGTGCAGCTTGAATTATGGAAACTCAGATTAATTGGTAAGTAACCTTTAAATTCACAACTCAGAGATGGCAAGCATCAGCAATTCCCACTAAGATCAAAGCAAGATGCTGAGTAGGAATGAGCTGGATCATACTCATCCTGAAATTAATTGACATTTTACTATCTGCTCCAGTGATAACAAAAGCACGGCTATAGAAAGCTCAGACACAAGAGTTTTGCTGTCATCTTAAGTGTAACCAACACCCTAGTTTGTAATAAATTCCACTCTCAGCCACCTCAAGTGCTTGTGAAGAAAGGCAACAGGAACACGTCATCCCATGGAGGAACGATATAGCTGAGCCAAGTAGTCTGACAGCTACTGAACAGTCTGGGTTAGATTCTGTACCATTTATACCACATGCAATTTCATTGCCTTCAGTGGATATGCAGGATCTAAACCATCTCAGAATTTAGCCCCAGAAGTGCATGTTGATAGATATGGACAGTTCTTTCCAGGGAGCTTGTGACTTATCTTTGGTTGGTTGTTTTATTGTTTTCCTTTGTTTTGTTTTGGTTTGTGTTTTGCTTTGTTACATGCAGAGATGCAGTACTTTTTAAAAGCTTCAGAGGGGTAACCGAGTTAATCTGTAACAGTAAAAACTTAAACAACAAATAGTCTAGTAGAACCTTCAAGACTAACGAAACATGTAGATGGTATCATGAGCTATCTTGGGCACAACCCGCTTCTTCAGACAATAGGAGAGATCTGGAATTCCAACACTCCTGTCATCTGAAGAAGTGAGTTGTGCCCACGAAAGCTCATGTTACCATCTACATGTTTTGTTAGTCTTGAAGGTGCTACTAGATTATTTGTTGTTTTTTAAGTTTTTCCTAGTACATTTTAAGTTGGACTTGACTTCGGGGGATTTTTTGTGGGGTTTTTTGAAGGGCCAGCTTACATTAAGTGATCATTTCATTTTCTGAGTTGGTTGCCCAAGATATTATTCTATACTTCCTTTTACTTCTCCCCAGCTCAGTGTTTTCAAGTCAGTTACTCACTTTTAGCATAAACTTACCAGAGAGCAGTTTTGCATTAGCATTGACTTACCATGTGTGAGCTTTGACAGCCTCCTGGTGGACATAGTGGGACACTGACAGCTCTTAGCTATGTATGTACTGCATAATTAGTACAGTATTAAAGACAGAACACTAAATAAGAAACCCTGGTAGACTTTTCTCACCTCAGATTTGAAGCATCTCACACACACAAAACAAAGCATTCTGTGCACATGACAGCTCACTTACAGTCTGGGGAAAAAGTTACTAAATAGAGGCTGCTCCATTTCATCATCATCATCATCAACCATAGGCTCAGTGCCCGTTGGTGTCCGATGCCTCTCTCACTATTTCTTTCTATCTTTCCCTGTCCAGTGCAGAGAAGCTTAGTTTCTGTAGACTAGCTCTGCACCAATCTACTATATCATCTACCTATTCTCTGTGGAGTCTGCCTCTCCTATTTGGACCATCTATCATGCCAAATACCAGGATCTTAATTTTTTGCTCATTGTTCATTCTTCAGATATGCCTTCAGGTAATTTCCATTGTATGACCTTCTGCAGTAGGTTCTATTTTGGCAGTATCTTCCTATATTATTCCTCATTGGTGACCTTCTGCATCCATCCTATTCTCAGGATCTTTCTATAACAACTCCTCTTGAACACCAATATCCTTCTTTTAGAATCTTTTGTATCACCCATGTCTCATATCCATATTACATGCTGCTAAGTACACACGTTTTCAAGAAGCTCAGCTTCATTTGTAAACTAATCACTTTACTTTTCCAGATCTTATCCATCACCTTCAAACTTGCTCTTGCTTTCACTATTCTAGTTGCTATTTCCTTCTTACAGTCCAGATCATACGTCATGTTGCTCCCCAACTTCTCTATGTTCTCTAGTTTGATTCTATCTACACTGATCTTCCTTCCTATTTCCTTATTGTCAAATACCATTGTCTTTGTTTTATCGATATTCATAATCCCATCTAAAAGAGCGATTGTATCTGGCCCTGCAGAATAGGAGAGGTTGGTAGTGGGTACAAGGAACATTTCCTTTCCTTGTGTCATCCCCTGTAGATGAGCACACAGAACTGTCCCTCACAGAACTGGGGTGAGAGCCTCTCAACAGGGATCTGAGCATCCTCAAGTCTCCACTGAATGGGAATTCTGGGTGATGATCTTCTAAGCAGCTCAGGCAGCCTGAGCATAATTGCCAAGTCTGCCTGCCCACACTTTAAGAGTAGGTTGGATGAGGGATGATTTAGATGGTGCTTGCTCCTGCCATGAGGGCAGGGGACTGGACTTGATGACCTCTAAAGGTCCCTTCCAGTTCTAGTGTTCCAAGCCACAATGTAGCTGTAAATAGGTTTAAAAAGTATAGCAGCTATATAGCACAGCTTTCTCCTAACATTCCATCTATACAGCTATTAAACACCCAATGCTGTGTCATGTCAAGTGATTCAGGCTTGCAGGGGTCAGGTTAAGGGGCTGTAATATTGTGATGGGGGAAAGATCCCAGAGCCCAGGCACCAGCACTAGCATGAATGTCTAAACTGCTATGTTCAGCTCCACATGAGCCTGAGTCAGCTGACACAGGTCAGTTACAGGTGTCCAATTAATGGGTGGACATACCCTAAGGCTAGGTCTAGACTATAGTCCCTTGTTAGAAAAAGCTACGCAAATTACACAATTTGCGTAGCTTTTTCCAATCACTTTTCTGGAAGAGGCTTTTCTGCATTTGGCCCCATCATAGAACGAGGTATACGGGGCTTCCCAAAAGAGAACATTTGCTCTTCCACAAAAAAAGCAGAAGAGCAAACACATTCTCTGGATGCAGCGGAGTTTTTCTGGGATACCTCCAGTATCTTGGAAAAACACGCCAGTCTAGATATACCCTAAGTCAGTGGTTCTCAACTAGGGGTATGTGTATCCATGGCGATACAGAGGCATTCCAGGG